CGCATCTCACCTACTTTTTCTGCAAGCGTTTTGGTTATCTCTTTCATATCTCTGAGTCTGTGGCACAGGAGATATAAATGACATGTGAAATCCAGATATCCTGGAATATTTCCCTCAGTCCAATCCATGACAGTCTTCTCTCTCTACACCACTCGTAGCATGATAGTTGACAGGATGATAGAACTCCTGTTCTCATTTCTAAGGCTTCATTTAGTTCTCCCTTGTGAACCCCTTGGCACGTGGTATAATCATATAGCTGCTAAATTAGTTTGAAAAATGTTTTGATCATTCCGTATTGTCTAAGCGGTTTCCAAATTACCTGAAAACCAGCACTTTGAAGTTTTTAGGAGTCGATAAACCTGATGCAGAGATTTGACTATCGTTCAATGCTCTGTTCGATGATGATCCGTAGAGTTGTAATTTGATCAGGATATGATTTGCTTTTCATTTTGTTTCCTATTAAACTTTCAGCAATAGTGGTGCGAACCGATATGCTTAGGCCTACGGTTTCGTTCCCAGGGCTTCTGAGAAGGGGTTCTGTCTAGTCCCGCTGCTCTTCCGGCTTTCATCAACTTCAGAGTATTCGAGAACTTTGTTGCTGTTGATGGCATTTCTTGACGAGTTTCGGGTAGTTGTGAGTTAATGAGTTCCTTGAAGAGACTGACGAATTGTTACGTTTGCCTCTCCTGTCTTTCCTGTGACTATTCTTGACTTCTTTGTCCATTGCTCAGTTTCTGTTTTCGTTGCTCATCCCTTCAGATGTTCAAATTTCGCTTGACCATGCACTTTTTCTCCGTCATGTTCTACGTTTCTCAGACAGCTGTTCGTTTGCCTGCTTCATCTTCTTACCGAAGATGTGCACATAGCTTTTCTTCTACGCTGCTTTCAAAGAGTTTCCATGTTCTTCTATATAGGTTTCCCCAGTCATATTGACTAATGACTTCGACTTTCTTCTGATAACTTCAGCTAAGGTGCATTTTCTGGTATCGAGCTTCAGGTGAAGTTCTTCTAGATTGCGTGAGAACATCTGGTGAATCATACGTGGTATAGTGAATATCCACGTGCTAATACACGGTATCTTAAGTCATTCTGAAGTGTCACAAGTAGTTTTTCGGAATACAATGAGCATTTAAATATTACGTGATTGTGTGTACGTTATGTGCTTTCTCAAAACTGGTAGTGAATTCGTTGTACAGATTGCCGCTTCTTGAAGTGGTTAAGTTTCTTTTATCGACACTAAGTTTAACTACGTGCCACATTTTGACTCATGGGAGTTTTGAGATCGATAGAAAGAATGCCACATCCTACTTTAATTGCGTACACTGGTTTTGATTCTGCGGCCAGATAAAAAAACTCGAAATTGACATGAATACGGGCAATAAATTTTGCTCAAAAGGTCATCCAGTTGTTGATATTGTATCACCTCCTGTCATATAAAGTAAACCTACCATTTGTGAAGCAGTTGATGTGTTTTCAAAGAGAAATTGTGTCGTTAACCATGAGGGACAAGTGTGTTTCTTGAAAACGACAATCAGTTAGGAACCCTTGAAAATAAGATGGTTATAATGCTGTCATTCATTGTTGTCACACTTTTTAGCTGCCAGAGTTAGGATCCCACACCACCGGTGGAAAACCATCAGAATAATGGAGCGTTTTCAGACAACCTGATCCTTACGTGTATTTTAACTCGCAAGCTGATGGATGGCTTTTATGCCTACCGCATTACTGTTTAGAGAGTGCTTGAGAGACTATCACCAGGTTTGCTCAGAGCAGACGGTGTCTTAAGACGTGCACAATACTCTGTTTGATTCCTCGCACAGTATACAGGATCTTCAAATAGCAACCCACTGTATATCATGCGATTTAGTCCCGTTTTATCAGAAACATAGGTTAATCCATTATAGTGCTTTTCCCTAGTCTCCGCTAGCTAAAAATCCATTTCAAAAAGCTAGAGAATACCGATCCAGAAGGGGAGTGAAAACAGATAAAAACACCATGTTCACTAAGAAATTCCGGATGAAGGCTAGCTTGTCAAACAGGACACCTTTCTTTACTTTGCATGTAGAACTCTGATTCCCTCATTTCACCGGGAGAATGTTGTGGCAACAAATAATTCCAAAAAAAAACATACTAATGATGTAGGGTTCTTCAGTCAACACTGAATGCTGACCACCATTGTTCAAGTCGAATTACCAGGCTGCAGGCACGCGATCAAGCGACTATGACACTGTGCAGGCTATCGTGTTACGCCCAGTTAACCGTGCAGGATCCCTAGGTGGCTGGGCAATCATCGTCACCTTACGACTCTGATAACGAATTATATTCAATATTTGGGGTTTAGAGGTTGACGGTATCGATGTTCGCGAATTGCACGGAGTATACTTATACCAACAACTTCTATAATATTTGTTTGTCGTGTACCAAAGACAAAGCAAAAGACCAGATTTAGTCGTCCAAAGTATGTGATACATTTTGGGTCCAAATAGTAAACCGTATCGAGTGAATGCTTAGCTAGCTAGTGATCGTGCACGCACGTGACACGACGGAGTACCAAGTGGCAAGGATGCTTTACCGGAAGCCTTCAGCTACACAAGTCGACTTAAACAGTGAGGGTCAGCATCCAGTGTTGAGTGATGATTGCTGTGGTCAATAATTTTGGGGAATTATTTACCGCTACAGGGGCAACCGACTTCTTGCTTCAGTTTGTCTCTTATCTCAGCCGAACAAGTACTTTGAGAGTTGCAGGACAAATATTTGTGTTTGTGTACAACGTATGCCACGTAAACATCAGCATCTTTGATCTCCTAAGCTGGTGACCCCACATGCAAACCACATCTTTTTTGAGAGTACATGTCCTTCGGTAGTCATTGCTACCTTCATTCCTCTTGGAACTTGAACTTTGAAAATTTAGCGGGCTCATGACGTACGTCAGCGACTAAGAAAAGTGCAAATTATTTGAATTATGGTGATCTGTTTTGGATGGAAATTAAAGTATTCCACCGATTCAGGCAGGAACAGTTCAACCCATCGTTTGCAGAGTTGACTTAGTTTGTTTAGAGTTACTGCCTACGAATAATAAACGGTTCCCGATGAATGGGAAGTGAAATATTTTGCTTTATATAACAGCCACTGTTCACTCTAGTTGACGTGAGATCCTCATGTAAATTGTACGAAATCCTGAAATTAATCTGGAACTTCTGTCAAAATAGACTGACACAGCTCCGCGTATAGTATTCTTCAGAGCTGGACAGGTCAACAGATTTCAAATACTTCCATAAAAAACTTGGTGTCAAAATCCCTCTGAACGGCAGGTTAGATACGGTTTTTGAACATATGCAAGCTTCTTTACTTGTTGTTCTCTGCCAAAATTAACTTCCATGTCTGCCACATGACAGTCTTTTTTGCCCTACATGTGTTTTGACCACAAAGCTGGCTGACTCTTCAGCCCAGCTAACTCAAACCAGGTGATATATATACACGCACGTATGTATGCATATATGTCACTCAAAGCTGTTCAAAAACTGTTTTGTTAACAGTAGCAATAAGTGGGCATAGAGGTGTTCAATCACACCCAAACTAGGAAACCACACTCATCTTCTTCAAACCAAGTTATGCACTATGATTACCGTTTCTTTTCTACTCAAATGAATTTCTCCAATGATTATTAAAGTTGAAACGACTGAATTTCAAACTAAGAAAATCCCACAATCTACCAAACATCAGGTGCGTCGGTGGCACAGCTGTTAGGACGCTCGCCATACATGCACATGGTCCGGGGTTCGCTCCCCGGCCGATGAACTCCTTTACCTCGTTCAGCCAGTAATAGAACTGGCAAAGAGGGAGGGTTGGACATGAGGCTAACAACTCCATCCTGTAAAGGTAAACACTGCTACAGAAACTTCAGGCTACTAGCTTGAAGCTCTATGTTCCACTAGAAACGTGAAGGAAATAGAAAATCGTCTCCATCTGCTAACCAATGAGGAGACCGGCATATTAGTGGGATAAAACGGATTCAATAGAACAGACCATCATTGGCATTCTGTGCTATAGGTTCCTCATATATATGTGTCTAACACAAACGCATTGATTCACTGACCCCATGCACCATTATATTTCAAAGGTGCATGCACATTTATGATACTTTAATTGAAGTGGGAGACTAATAAATAGGCCTTCAACAAAAAAGTGGGTGTCACAAGCACTTTTTTATACTGTGCAGACATCGAATACGCCATGGCATATAATGTGCAATCTGCAGAATGTAAATCCCAATTCATCCAGAGAATCCTGGCAGCTTGTTCCTATCTACATGTGACTTTCATTGGTACTTTTACTGTTCCTATATACGAAAAGACTTAAGTTAACCTTGGAAATATTCATAGCAGTCTGTATGTCGAATAAATGAACAGATCACCATGTAAAATCAGACTTAACAACATGAAACTTGACTAAGAGGATCCTTATACTGAAAAAAATCCAGAAACACAGAAGATGCGGCGTAAGGATTATTAAGTAAATGCATTTCATCAAAATATCTGATTGCTGTTGCACACAGAATATAGGGATTAAAGAGGCATGTATTGCTCATGAGCTCATTCTAGATGTACATTCGCGTGAGTGAGGTCCCATGAAAGATAGAACAATTTCTTCTATGAACTGATGTCTGACCTTAGCCGGATGCCTTTAAACAGGAGTTTGATATTTATCCCATCACTTTTGCGACTGTTTGGCAGTGTTCCAGAACAACCTGTCCACTGTGGGCCTAAAGTAATGTGAATTTCTATTAAGACTACCCATTCTCCTTCTTCATATCAAGGATAAGATTGGGGAAGTAACCTCATTAGTTGGGTTTTGCTACGAAACATAAATGTCCTAAAGCTGATGATCCATCACCATATAGCGATCACGATACGAAGAGTTGATGTAATTTCTTCGTCTAATCAAACAGATATTGAAGATTAGGGCGCCAAAATCGCAAACCTGACCTTGCGGTGCTTTACATGGAAAAAGAAAGTCCTTCATGGAAAGCTGCCATTGTTTCGTCACTGATTGAACGGGATATTGTTGAGAAGTCATTTTTCAATGACTTAATCGCACAATGTCTGTTCATTTCCACTTAGTTTTAATGTTTCAGACAACACAAATAAAGATTTAGTGCTACAGCTGAAAGCAGAAAACTCCCGTCTTGCTCGGGATTTAACATCATGTCAACAGGAGAAATCAAATCTGCAGCTGGAATTTGAAAAAATGTAGACTCTGTTAGGTTTAGCATATTCTTTTAGAAAGTCAGTCAAGTCATATGACTATGAACAGAAAGTCTTCCATTTGCAAGAAGAGGTCACCGAATTACATCGACAAAAAGGAAGCGTGAGTTCATAAAAAGGTCTCTAATTTTGTTAGCTCGCACAAAGTGTAATTGAGCTTAACAAGGCCGTTCAGGAAAAGGACGGCTTACTCCAATCAAGATCTGTGAAGTAAGTCAAGCATTACTTTACTGAGTTTTCAAAGGATTTCAGAGCTAGATGATTGCCTGAAGGCTAACCAGAAGCAGAATCGTCAGTTATTGGAAAAAATTAAGGAGCTAGAGGAAGTTAAAGAAGTCTGTTGTGTTGGTGTTATGCAACTTGCATTCTCAGTTGCTTACAGATGAGCAAGCCTCACATTTACTGGCTATTAAAGCTCTAGAAACAAAAAACAGGCAGCTTGAAGATGACAATGTTCAGCTTATCAAAAGGATTAAAGCCCTTCAAAGTACTGTTGAGAGGCTCAAAAATATAGAGTATGATGTACAGTATAGGTAAGTGGGAATCATTCCTCAAATATTTCACAGAAAAACCCAAGAAACTATACGTAAAAACCTTCAGGATGCAGCTAACTCGACGATATTTGTTGCCGATAGGTTGAGTTATATTATGTCTTAATCTTTTAGTGATCCTATTGATAAACCTCTCCCTTGCAAATCTGCCCTCCCTCATCACGTTGCTGTTAAAATAGTGGGGTTTTCTTTCCGTTGAGTCTTTATTTTTAGGATGCTAATGAAGGAGAAGTAAACAGCGTCCGTTTCACTCCGTCAGGTCACCTTTTTGGGTCAGCGGGCTTTGATCGTAAAGTACGACTGTGGACGTATCTTAACGGTATGCGTTTCCTCCCTATTCAGATTGTTACCGCCTATTAATGTTTTCCAAAATTTTCATGTTCTGTTTTTACGATCTTTGTCTTCTTGCTTTTTTATCCATTCTTGCATATAAAATAGTACATTTAAAATCTTATGACCTATCTAAAATACAAACACGGTTATGTATTGAGAGTGCTATTTTTTATTTTAAAAACTAGGTAAGTGTGAAATCCACTCAACACTCCTTGGTTGCAATGCTGCTGTTACCGCTATCGACTTTGATCCAAATGTGAGTTGATTTTCTCCTTAGCAGTTTTCTTTTGTATATGATGCAAATAAAATCAAAATGCTAACCAGACTTGGGAATATGCCTACTTTGCTAATGTGTGAAGAATATACTTCATTTATCCGGTAAGCGCACTGAAGACTAAACTGCTAACAAAATGATTCTGATATACTTCCTTACATAAAATTTCCCAGTTGTTTATTCTCTAGACTTTACTAAATTATGTTCTCCATGATATTGCAAGTATTTGTCCTTGTTTTCAAGAAAGCAAGTCATTTGCTCATCTAGCCAATTACATTTCTAGCTCACTAGTTTTACTACTGTTCACACTTTCATCAGCCTTCGGAATCCGGTCACATTGGTAGTTAGTGCCACTAAACCCTCGAGAGATTCTTCTAATACAACTTATGAATATGGTAAAATACATTCTTCACAATTCAGTTCCACAAGTTGAAAGCTTATCTCCAGTCTTTATTAAAAATTAAGTAGTGGCCATGTAACTTTTCCCGCTGAGTTCTTATCTGTTAACTAAAAGATATTTTCCAAATAAATCGGGCTTGTTTAAATGGTCCTGACCGATAGCTTCCATAATTCGAAGTCACTCAGGAATAATGTTATAAAAGTGTTTCAGTTTGTCAACTGGCACACACAGTGTGTCACTAGGCTACTTCTGTTTATTGATAGATTCAGATAATAAGAATAGTAGGTCTGTGTCAATCCTTGCAGTATATATCTCTGCAGAGATCTAATTTCACCGATGGAGCTGATACTACAGAATCGGCTGAGGAGTCCCAATCTTTGACCACTATGAGAGAATATATATCCCACACGTATTTTATTCGTCTGTTGTTTGAGCACCTTTTTGTGCTGACCTCTCAAATATATCCTAGAGGGAGAAGAAACGTCAGTCACGAAGTTGCCCTTCAACATACCAGAAGGGCAGAATTAAGTCAACTTTTTGTTGTGATAATAGGAAGATATTTAGATGCTCCATCCTCTTCTCATAAGGAAAGTGTGAGATACCACTGACTAATTTGGTTCCTACCCCCTGTTCTCTTTCCAAGAAATTTAGCTCCTTCTTGAAGCACCAACTAACCGCTTGTATGCAGTATTCTAGATATAACTCCAGCTTGTGGTCCTCTGTCCACTGAAAATTGACATACGTGGCTGTTTTAGCTGACAAGTATGTTTATGCTTTTGTGCATTTATATAATGCAAACCTCATACAATATAGGCACCAACAGATGTACAATGTAAGATACTGAAATGCTATAAAGAAAAGGTTAGGGAACAACAGAATAAAGTGGAATCATGCTTATCAGCTGTGTTCGAAAGAGCATTCGTTTCTTCAAGTTACTGTTGATGGTAGAGGAAACGAGGAATATATATCTTGGCTATTGATTTCAAGTCATATTTCAAACCAATGGATGATCTCTGGAACTACGTCTAGAGAGTCTATTTGTATCAGCCATTGCTAAATCGCGACCAATGTCGGATAAGTTTTGGTACCGTTACTTATGATGGAGTAGTGTTACGTTTTTATTTATTAGTCGTACTTGTTAAACAGTGTGGTCGAAGTTTTCAATTTGTCAAACTTATTATTTTTTCATTTAATATTGCAAAAGAGCACTCATACATAGTTCAAGTCCCAAATATTCAGCCACTGTGGCAGTAAAATATTTACCACAAATTTGGTATCAGTATTTTTTTGTTTTAGAATTTTGAAAATTGTTGACAACAGTGTTCAAATTTTGGTGAGTAGTTTCCCAGTCAGAGATGTACATTGAGTCAAAGGAAATTCCAAAGACTTAAGGAACTAATCAACAAATTTCACTTTAACCACCTCAGCGAATAGATTCTACAAAGTACTTTGTGTTCAATGTGTCTGAAATAAAGATAAAATGTAAGAAATTGTCTGCTGGGTTACTTTTTTCGTAGAGAAGAAGGCAAATGTGATCTTATTTGACTTATTTCTATTGGAGGAAGTGAGTAGTGTTATCATTAATAGTAAATTAAAGATAAGTCATTTAGTGGAGATGATCGTAATGATCGTAATAAGTCACGAGACATTGCGTATTACAACGTATAACGTCACCTGTAATCCTAGTAGGTCCAGGGCATGTTGTATTTAGACCAGGGTATGGCACCATACCATGAGATTAAATTGAGTGGGAGAAGTGCATCCCTTTTGGTTAAGTGCACGATTTTCACAAAACTGTTAGTTAGGCGTGCTTTATCAAAATAGATAAACATTGTACTTATTAGTTCTTCAAAATATTTTGGGTTTATTTTTGCCTCTTCCTGTGAAGAGAAGTTTTTCCACAAAACTGGTGCTGCATGTCAGTTAGTATCGCCCATCGCCTCAAGACTGCAAGCTCTTTTCTTCACTATCACTTCTACATATAAGGAAAGCAGTTTCTTCTGTCGTTAGATTATCATATTCTGTTAACTATTTTATATAATTTGTTTATTTCAGGAGACAGCTGTTTTGGGTGCATCCAGTGACTTTTCATGTCGTGTGTGGACGTTAAATGATTCAAGGCTTCGTGTAAACTTAACAGGCCACTCTGAGCGTGTTATTTCAGCAAAGTTCATGGGTTCAGTTAATCGTGTCGTTACTGCCTCGTCAGACAGAACTATCAAGGTAATTCAATTTTCATCTTATTTTTCTCTACTGACGAAATATTTTTTTTAGTAGTTAGACTTTCGGAAATGTTCCAGTCACTTGTTACCTGACTGTTATCATAAAAGCTTTTTTCCAAAGATAAACTTGTTGAACTGCATAGTAGGAAACTACATATGCATTTGTTAGTTATTTCGAACATTTATAAGTATAGTAACATGTAGACAATTAATTAGGATTATATTCGTCTGCGTTTCATGCACAGTCACATATTCTTTTGGATGGGAGTCAAGTTTAGGTAACCATTGATATATTAAAGCACTGGTTTATTTTTGTGTCTTTTTAAAGTAAATGAATCACATACCCTTAATAGTCTAACTAAATCCACCGTTGGAGTCTACTGGACTTCATATATTGCAGACAATTATTTCAGTGGTAATTTTCATGTTTAATTACTTAATATTAGTCTTTTATTGATTTGAGAATTTATTCTGCCCTGTACTTCTGGTACACGTTTGTTGGTATATTACTTTTCCTCATCTAATCCTGACGATTTTTGTTGTGTGTTGTTTTGTGCATTCAGTAAGTCAATTTTTTCCTTCTATCCGTCAAAATATTTTATTTTATTCCTTCACGTTACAAGTGAAACATAGGGTTTCTAAATAGAGGCTTGAAGTTTCTGTAGCAGTGTTTTTATTTTTACAGGATGGGGTTGCTAGCCTCATACCCAACCTTCCCTCTTTGCCAGTTCTATTACTGGCTTAGCGAGGTAAAGGAGTGTGTCGGCCGGGGATCGAACCCCGGTGAGCGTCCTAATAGCTGTGCCACCGACGCACTCGTCAAAATATTATTCAGTGTTATTTCACGGAAATTCACTGCACTATCATACTAACTCAGTACTATAGTTCATTGGATGATTAAGATTCAGTCAGTGACTTCGAACCCACCAAAATCACTTACAGATAATTTTAGCATTCGATTGGAGTCATTAAACATCGCATAATATTGGGTCTTTGTAGCCTAGTACACGAATCTATGTTTACTTGGCCGGATAAAATCTTAAGTAACTTCGAACTGTGTCCAAACAGTAGTCGATATTTATTATGTTATAGACATAAACACGTTGCGTATTTACCTAACACTAATCCGCAATTATATATATGGAACTTTCTGTCTAACAATTATGTTTACAAACATTTACAATTAGTTAACGATCAATTTTTCTGACATTTTACCATTCTGTTTAAATGAAATGGGTGTGTCTGTATTTCTGTTGTACTTAAAAAAAAGCTGTAGGTTAGAGTAGAGTTGTAGGTTAACTTGTGACGGAAGGGGGACTTCTGACCTTACTTCGCAAATTTTAGGCATCAGTTAACGTGTCTGGCCTTCATACGATCCACTGTACTTGTGATCTGTGCATTACTCAACGTGTTCAGTGTAGTGCACAATTGGTCATCCTTACACGATAAGATAATTGAATCACACCAATTAAGTGTTGCTGACAGTACAGTTAACTGAATGTATTCCATATATGCTGCTATGCATTTTGAAGATGCAATTCAGTGAATTGTGACCTCAGATACAAGCAATGCACACGATATTTTTATTAGTTATGTGCACAGCTCCTACCACTGTCCATCGACTCAGTAAGGAAGAGTAATAGTGCTTAAATGAAAGATACTGAGAACTTGAAATATGACTTATCATTTGTAAAAGTGGAGTAGAAATAAAGGTTATCAGTTCTGTGCATACATTTTATTATTATTACCACTATTATCAGTAAAACACTGACTTGGCACATAATGGGCACCAACAGACACTCCACGCAAAATCTCATAGTATGTGCGATGGCAGTTATACATCTCAGAACGAAGCACAGGGTTGTCTCAAGAAGCCACCCGTGGATCTTTTGACTTTAGGTCCGATCCCCGTTTGCACCATAGGTTTTCTAGTTCCCTTACATATAACGATGAATTTATGCTATGACTACATGCTTATTGGGTGTTATGACGAAGAATTGATGGTATAGCTTGTTCTACTGAGATTTTCATTTGAGTCATTTTGGTATTCTCTGTCTCTTCGCGACTGCAGTGACATGATAACTTCTCAACTTGTTTATTAATTCGCACAAATTAATGGTTGTTAATTCACGTCTGATCTTCTAATTGTTGTTCAGAATCCTGAATATGCTAGAAATGTGGATTGAAGACAGATGTTGACGTGATATTAATTTGAGGTAATGAATATTGATCCAAGTCGTTGTTCTGTGATATATGATAGTTAATTCTCTTGGATAGTTGGAATTAGTGGTCAGTGATTGTGAACGATTTCCCTTGTGATTGGTCGTCTTGGTAAAGTTGCATTCATTGTTTATTTTACATGATATTTCTAAAATCTCATAAAATTTAGCTGCTGTTATGTATCCTTTCTTTATTTCTTTTAATGGTGTTATCCTTATTTTTTATTTCTGCTTAAATCCGTCTACCCTGAGGGTAAATTCCATATGAAGTGGCTGTTCAATGAAAAGGTATTCAGAGAATATTGAATGTCACAGAAAGTGTGCTCATTGAATGGTGATAAATACAACTGCCTAGTAATTTTGCTTGCTCAAAATCCACCCATCAAATATTCAGTATGATTGCTAATTGATACTAAGACACTTTTGTTCTGGAGTTAGAATATTAGGCGGCGTTAATTAGCTAGTAGAAGGCTTTCGATGAATTTCGGTCAGTAGAAATGAAAGTAGAAGAATTCACTGAGAACCAATTCATACACACTGATTAGTTCCACAGGAATTCAGTTATGATCATAACAACTTAATAATGAATCCTTTAGTTTTGCCATCGATTGAGATTCAAAGCTCGAAAGACTCATGAGTTCCCGCGAAGTTGCATATGTGTGTCTTGGGACATTGAAGACTTCCTGCCTGTTCACTCCTAAAACTCAACAGCAAACGTGAGGAGACAGCAGTGTTGAAAAGAATGATTTCAGCGTAGAAGTAATATGATCTATGTTCAACCTATTTAACTTGTCTGTATAACGTGAACGATGTGTTGCATATATCGCTTAAATAATTGGTAGATATTCAAAACGTGTCTCACAAAACTAGCGCTTTGCTATTCGTGATCTACTCTTTAGTTTCCTTTGATAACAGTTTCTCTTTAATTTTGTTCTGTTTAACTACTAAGATTTGGGACGTTGATAAATGCTGCTGTAGACGCACCATCATGGCCGCTTCCACATTTCAAGATGTAGTTGTTTGCCCTACTTTGTCTGCCCTCGTCACTGGTCACTTTGATCAGCATTTACGCATTTGGGACGAACGAACTGGCGAGAATAGTAGCAAAATCTTGCTGTCTGGACGTATTACTGGTATGGATATTTCCTCAGGTATGTGATAAAAGTTTAACGCCAACTTGAATAATAAGTTTGTGTACTACTGCCTCGAAGTGTTTACATATTTGTTCACAAATTTTATTACTCTACGTTCCAAGTCGAACATAAGGCTTCAATATAGAGCTCTGAAGTTTTTCCGAGCAATGGTTATTTTGTTTCTACGGAGTGAGGTGGGGTTACTAGCCTCATACTTAAACTTCCCTCTTTACCGGCCTTATTACCATCATAACGAGGTTTAGGGGTGCGTCAGCCGGAGATCGATCCGCGGATTACGTACGTGGTCGGCAAGCGTTCTACAACTGAACCACCGATGCGCAATTTTCCAAGATACTCCATTGAAAATGTGTGTGGAACCCTCAGTGAACCGCAAGTATAAGAACATTAACATTTACACTACTGAATGCTCATGCTGTTGACTTGTGTACAATGATTAACTGTTATTATAATTTAATTCAATTTTAGATTTTCCCGTCGATTGATTGAACCTAAGTGCTCAGTCTCAGGTTGATATGTTGGCTTCTTGTGCAGATGCTTCGACGATATCTAAGCATGTAATTACAAGTCGAAGCGTCCACCCAAGATGCCGACATGTCAACCTGAGACTGAGTACTTCTGTCCAATCAATCGACGGGAAAATCTAAAATTGAATTAAATAATTAATATGACCCGTTGCACAAGAGGTGGTTCTCGTGGCCCAAGTGGTTTAGTGGATAACGCTTTGGCGTTTGAAGCTATGGATACTGGGTTCGAGCCTCGGTGGGAACATCATTACTCAATGCGGAATGCAGGTACATCCAAGTGACGAGTCCCAAATAAGACGAAGTGCGCATCCTGGATTCCACTGCTGGTCACCATCCGCCAATTAACTGTTATTGTAATTGATTGTAATTCTCTCAAAATCCACTTCTATTCTGACTGGATGACGTGTATGATTTTTATTATTGATTTTTCTTTTTTTCTAAATTAGTAGTATTAATTCCTTTTTAATTCTAAGTTATGCATATGATTAATTTTCTTTGTTTTCTTTCCTCAAAGATTTTACAACTGTTTTGGCTTGTACACGTAATAATACCTTAGAAATTGTCAATTTACGTATGAATAAAGTGATTCAGTGTTTGAAGGCAGAAGGTTTTCAAACTGGTCTAGACATTGTTCGACCATGTTTCTCACCTGATTCAGATTATGTTGCTGCTGGTGGGCATGATGGTGGGGTGTATATTTGGAGTACTAATTCAGGGAATCTTGAGACTTGTCTTCGAGATCATACGTAAGTGATTGGTACAAAAGTTGCATGAAAATTTCTAAAAATACCTAAACTGATGTTTTTTGAAACAGTGTTAAGCTGCCTGCAACTCTGTGTAGCATCAGTCTGTTACAGAATTTATTGTTTGTTATTTCTCAGTCAAAGATAGATGCCTGGGTTGTTAAGTAACATTCAGGCGTTAAAACCACGTAACACTCCTTTCGTTTCCTTGAGCTTTAACACCAAGTGATGAGCTACTGGTTGTTCTTACAGCTCGAGGTTCTATTTAATATCGGATTGGTGTGAGTCAGTCTATCTGTGTGAAAGGCAGACTTCAGAACAGATGTGTTGCAAAACTCATTGGCCTAGACCAAATTCATTCGCAAACGTTTCGAATGCTAATTAAATTTCACTCTATTTCATTAAATCTCTTGATTCGGAGTTGCGCTTTTTCGTGATGCATGATAGATGATGTATAGATTCTCATACTTTTATGTTCAACGGACATCCATGTAACCCACCTCCTTTATCACTTGGTCGAAGGTAAATTCGACTGGCGTGTTCAATTAGTGAATGTGTAAAGGGTAGCATCAATACACGCTTGAAGGTAACAGCTCATGTTATATTGCTAAGATACATCGTATGCGAATGACGTGATAATGAACTACTTTGTAGAATATTATGTGGTGTTTAGAGTAATTCCTCATTTCTCATCCCACTGTCTTGCTTGAATTTCCTTTCGGAATGAATCTTCTTGGCAAAATGAAACTCGCGTAACGCAGAATAATAGGCGATTTTACACATTTCTCAGTTTTCCGACTCCTATTGAATTATTGGCTAGTGAAACTGTCTGTGATACATGGGTGAATATTTGTTTACCGCTGAGGTCATATTCGAAAATTTAAAAATACGCGTCCACTGGTTATGAATAGTCTTCAAGGTGTAATGAAGTAACGAGTACTGCTAGCTTACCACAGGATTTGAATCACGCAGCCTTTTATTTATGTGAACGTTAGAGAGCTCTGTTGACGCGTTCCCCTGTGACATAAATGCTTGAAACCTGTTTTATCAAAGTGAATTAAAAGACCCACTTTTAATAGATTACTGATTTTGTTCCTTGGCAATATGTAGTTATTTCACCTCACATTAATCAATACACATAGCACGTGAGCATCAGAGGGTAGACTTCCTTGATAAATTCACAAGAAGATCATCTGACAGTGGTTTAATCAAGTGATTTGACACAGTTTTGAATATTTTCTTTTTAACGATATGTTAGTTTCATCACGTGGATACCATTTTTATTTCTTCGTTATATTTCAGAAATACTGTCGTCTGTTGTCACTGGAATCCAAATGGTAATTCTCTAGTTTCATGTGAACGCATCCAAAAAGCAATTGTTTGGACAAGTTTGTAAAATTGTATTGTATCATAATAACAACAAATGACTATAAACTCTGTACTATTTCGAAAACAACCACCTCCTGCTTCAGAAGTTCTACCTAACCCAAATCATGTCTGTTCGTTGCTTATGTATTTCACCGCATTCATCATTATTCTTCTTGTTCTTCCCTTCTCCCTTTCTTGAAAAAGAAAACGTCTACTTCAGCTATTCACAAACAGACAGAAACAATCGATAATTATTTCTCTTCATATTGTTGCATTCATGAATAATGAATGAATAGTGTTCACGATGATGATGAGATGTGATGATAGTTATTTCACTAGGTTCCATTATTTATTATTTTGTCTTATTGTGTGTGATTGGGAAGAGAAAGTGATCAATCATATTTGTATTATATTTCACACTTATTATTTATGTATTTTGCTTTCAAATTATATATAAAACAAAAGAGTAGAAATGAAATGATATCAAAAGTAGAACTTGTTTTCTCTTTTTGTTTGCAAAGATTTCTGTGTTTTATTTTCAGAGGAGAAAATTGTTCCACTGAGTGTTTGTGTTGTTTCCTTTGCTTGTTCATTCAATTAATCTAAGAGTGAAAATTTGTTATAATGAACTATTACCTTTTCTTTTTTCCACAGGATATAAATAACAATTTAAAATGTATTTTCAAGTATTGATTTGTAGGTATTTGGTTGATTGGTTACAGGATTTCATCATGAGGTGACATTAGTTAGAGAACCATTGGAAAACTGGGGAGTACTGGACAGCGGTTTCGTCCAAGTTTGGGACTCTTCATCAGTACGCACCCACTGGGGTTCGAACCCAGGACCTTCTGGTCACAAGGTGAGCTCGTAGACCATTAAGCCACTGGGACCCTATTCAATGGTTCATGAATTCTAACTTCCGCCAATTCACGATATAGCGCAACCGCTAGCTAATGTCTTCGGCGCGTATTTGTCCTCACGACCGACTTTCTGCACCCTACTGGTCACGACTTCCCATTGGAACCCCAGGTAACTACCTACCTGAATAGGGCCAGTCGCCAGTGAGCATCTCATTGTCAGCTCATGATGAAATCTTGCAAACTGTATTTTGCTGTATTCAAGTGTATTGAAATCAATCGTCTAAGTAGCATTCACTATCTATATGCATCTGTTTGTTAAGTAGTCTTTTGCCTATGTTGTAAGTGTAGACTTCAGGCAATTCGGTAGAATATAATTCCTTCCATATTGCATAAGTATATTTGATATAACACACAGTAATACAGCGTTAGTAGCTGAATAACTTCTCGAGCCCTATTTATCGCTCGTGTTTGTGTATTCACACGGTCTCATATATGTATATTTTTGTTTCCACTTTGTTGTGCATTATAGTTTTCCATATATCCGTTATAGGCGTTGCATCATTTTGACTGCACGTGTTTGCATTGATTCGATGACTCAAGCTATCTGTCTCTCTCTCTCCCTCTACATGAATATATTACTCTCAAATACTTTCACCTTATCCTGTCCTATCCTTTTATGTGATTACATCGTATTCATATGTGGCTGAGTAGTTTAAGCACTCGGTCATAGGTTCGTGTCCCACTTCACCTGCTTCATTATGGACAACTGGACAATATCATCAGCCCTCACACGACAAGTTAAGCTTTTACTTTGGTACATGAGATAGCTGTTGCGGGTAACTGAATTCAAAAATCAAAATCAAACATGTGCAATTGAAATAACTCAACGCCTATATCGGATTTATGGAAAGTCGCAATGAACAACAACGGGGGGGGGGTGGCTGATATATATATATATATATACATGAGACCCTGTGAGTACACTGATATGATTGTGAGCAATTAATTGTGTTCGAAACGTCACCCAGTGATTAATACTGCATCACTCACTGTATGTTGTATTCAATTAAATTGTCTGATATGGAATTATTTAGTCTACCTTAAACAAAGAAGTAATACACGTACACACAAGTTTTGGTGTTATTGTAAATAGTGTCATTATTTACCGATGCGTATCAGACAATGGCGTACATGAAACAATCATTAAACTTCACATGTTATTGAATTCTTGTATCCAAATTCAGTCAAAAATAAAACTTGAACGTCAAAATTGATATACATATGTGCCTCCAAAGCACTTTGTAATCCATTTATACACATGAAGTGGATTTTGTGGTATATTGTAGAATTCTGTAAAATCAAGGATGTTTGATTGTAAATAATAAATGTAATAGTCGTTTGGTTCACTGTTAACTCCTGGAGCTGTCACCTATTATTATTAGAATTTCAACTCCAGGTTCAAACCAACTCTACTTGATATAAGTTTGGATATTCAGTCTTTTCACAATAAATGTGGCTGATAATTAAGTGTATGGGAAGTTAAGTTACGTTTTGACTCTGCATTCATTAATTTAATTGTTGAGTGATAAATACTCACCTGTCGTCATATTCACTTCACAACAACAAGTCATTTCTAATCTCAGCTTTATATTGGCTTAATCTGAGAGTAAGGGATCATCGTATCTGAGATGGTGGATCAAAGTTGTATTGTGTACACTTAATAGTGGACGGCGACACCAAGGGCACCTTGCATACACTCTTGATCACCAACCTTCAAATTGAACTGAAGGTGATTACTCGAATGTCATTAAAGGCTTTGTCTGAGTAACACTTATGTGTGATGCACCTTTTAACATTGCTTACAAACCAATGAGATGTTTAGCCTTGATTGATACAAACATATTAACTGTATGTATTGTCTTCCAGTAGAATAGTGTATATCTGATTTTATAGCACTGTTCACTTTGTTTTCGCTTGCCACCTGTAATTCTACACTAAGAATTGATTGACTACTGATTTACACTTAAGTAGTGTGAGTGGGAAACAATCATATGTGTACTCCAGATTACGTGGTTGTCCTCTTTTCTGTAAACTACTATTTCTCAACATATTTCTTAATACGACTGTGCTCTGCAGTTTGTTTCAGGTATTCAACTGTTTCTATTCAGCAACACAAGTTTGAATTTTGTCTAGATGAAAACGTGATCTCCCAGAATGACAGAAAAATGTGCAGAATTAATTGATCTTGCTCTTGTTTAGATTTGTGTTGTTTCTTGGCTTACAAATATGAAAATGGTTTCGCAGGTGTCGCAAAATATTTCCTAAGTAAATTCGTCAAGTACTTGTAGCTATGTGTAAGATTTCTTCGAAACACAATGCAATCATGCTATACAGAGCTTATTAAATACACTAGCATTGTTAGATTTCACTTAATTGTAATCGGTTATATCATCCAATTGGCATTCCTTTTTATATTCCGTTTGTGGTAAATTGTTGCAGACATTCATGTTACTCATAAGGCTTAATATTAATGACAGTTTTATGAAAGGGCCTTCATCAACAGATTTCTTCGCTCAATACCATTCAAGTTCAGATGCTCAGAAAAGATCAGCAACAGGGATCTCTGGCAATGAGCAAACCAACTAGGAACCGATTGTGCAACGAATATCCATGAAGAAATGGAGGTGGATTAGCCATCCTCTGAAGAAACCATCAGGTGACATCAGACGACAGGCCCTTGAGTGGAACCCGAACGGGAAGCGGCAGGTTGGTCGTCCAAGGGTGACATGGGGGAGGTCATGTGAAGAGGAGATCAAAGCATGTAGGCAAATGTGGAGCCAGGTGAAAACATTAGCAGAAAACCGAACGCAGTGGAGATGTGCGGCTGAAGCCCTATGTTCCTCTAGGAACTAAAGGAAACAAACAATTCATGAGAGGGAATTCCTACTTTTTCTATTTTGAACTTCTTGATTGAATTCTACTAAGTGTTGTATACTGAAAATATCTCTATTTCTCACTCGATATGCATCAGAGTGAGGTGTTTGCTGATAGTGAGAGAGTGAAGTGTCTTCTACAGAATACACTACGACAGACTGAGAAGAGAAAACATTAATTATGAGAAAACTAAAGAGAAGCATAACTTAAAGAAAGTTAACACTATTAGTCAGTAGAAATCTTAGTACTTTATCTGTATATTCAATGAAATTTGTGTATTAATACGATTTTTCTGCTCTTCATGTTCATTTTGTCCATGGGATATTTGTGTTCTACTGGTTCTCTTTTCCTTTTGGCTTCTTCCTATGCATTTAGTTAATATTTGAATCTTCCTCTTCCCCCTAATTTGAACATTGTTGAATGTTCTCTAGTTGAAAACCTCGCACTGCATGTTGCCAAGACACATATCGTGATTAGCGTCACTCACAATAAGCTTAAGTTATCCATTTTTGCTTAAGATAGGTATATAGTCCAGCCTTCGGATGGAAATAAGAATATGGAAGCAAAAGTGTTAGCGCTATTTTCACTACACCGTAGTAATGAACTTAGCCTATGTGCGTGATGCTGTCTGTGTTTATTCTCTTAGGTTTCATCAGTCAGCTGCTAGTGCGAAAAATATATTTTAATTAAATAGAAAGAACTAGGAACTAAAGGAAATAATAATAATAATAATAAATAGAAAGAAATATTTAGTCATCATAACATATATTTAGTTGGAAGTACAGCTTACAGTAAGTTTGAGACTTATCCCATAAATCGTTACGTTCATTGCCTGAAATACAAGTGAGATATTTTTCTTTCATTCTCTTACTTATTATTAGAATTTGCTGTCACTCAACTGTCTTTTTCGTTTATTCATTTCTAGCAAGATGCCGACTGGAGATAAACCACAAGAGAAGCATAAAAAAGAGTCCATTATCGATTTAAACAGGTATATAGACAAACGAATTCGTGTCAAATTTTCCGGTGGTCGAGAAGCTGTTGGTATTTTAAAGGGGTGTGATAACTTGCAAAATATGGTGATCGATTGTACAACTGAATACCTCCGTGATCCAGATGATCCTCATCGGTTGACTGAAGATACCAGAGAATTGGGTCTTGTGGTTTGCAGGTTAGTTGCCGCCTCCCTCCCTACCTTACTTTTGACTACCTCTCTTCCTGTTGATTTACTTTATATTCTAATATTTCGATGAAACAAGATGCATGAAACATTAGTTAATTTTTGTAGAACATTACTCAAATAATTATCTCTCTTCACCATTGATAAGTAGGAATATATGTCGTGGAAAGGTTTATTAACTGTGCTGTTTGAACATGACCTACTATTACACCGTTAGTAGTAGTATCATTTAATGTAGGAATTCCACCCGACTATCTTGACTGTATGTTGGATGATTCTAGTATACTGTTTAGGTAGCTTAGTTTCTACTGCGTTGTTTTGGTGTCTACAGCACTCATATGTGACAGATAGACAGGCTCCACCAACTTCTTCAGCTATGGACATCTAGGGTTTAGCATCATTGGTGGCCAGTTGTCAATTGTGGATGTCTTAAACAAGTTAAGATTTAATGGTTTGAGGATAAAATTGACTATTAATTTTGTACTTCTCAACAAACAAAAGCCAATTTTGTTTTGACTACTATACACATTCGTTATTGTTGTCATTCCATTGCTAGTGAAATAGAGATTCACTACTTAGTATATGTAATTGCTAATCTCAAAGACGATTCAGTTTGATAGTAGAACTGCTATAAGATAGAATTTTATTTTCTCTTTTTTCACATTTCTCACTCTTACTTCTATTTTTTCCGAGAACTATATTCTGTTTGTATATTTTCCATAGATTTTTCTTTCAGATCGATTATTAAAATTATTCTGTTTGGTTCTGAATGGAACATAGAGGTCCAACAACACATCTCCATTTTGTCCTGTCTTCTCTTGCCCTCTCCAGCTGAGTCCACGATTGCCCATAATCTTTCATCTCATCCTTGTTCGGCCTCCTCCATGTCACCCTCGTGGCGACGATCCACTCGTCGTTTCCTATTTGGATTTCACTGGAGTAATGGCCAGGTGCGTCATTCGACGGCTTCCTCAGCGTATACCCGATCTATGTCTATTTTCCTCGACATATATGAACACGAAGTTCTTAATTGGTTCATCCCCACAGAATTTTGTTGCTAATAATTTCTGGTCGGCCGGCCGGCCATTTGATTCTTTAGCATGGAGCCAGCAAAGGTGGCTGTTGATAAATGTCTACAACCTGCTGTAAAGGCTTTCGGGGATGCGCAGTGCAAGTTTCTAACCCATTTAGAAGAACTGACTGAGTTAACTTTTGTACTGGAAATCCGAATCTTGTTCTTTATGCCAAGGCGGAGTGCAGACGATTTCCGAACTGGTTTCAGGATGATCAAGACGTATCTTGCATTTCCGAAGCTCTGGCTGACATCTTTACCTGTTCTGTTGCCTGTCGTTGAAACTCTGCTTCCTAGATAAATAAAGGAAGTAGTCTCTGTCGAATCTCTCTCATTGATAGTGGTTGGTGCTGGTTGTTGTTGTTGGTTGGTTGGGAATCTTCATCACCTCCGTCTTATCTATGTCCATTTGAAGTCCCGTCTTTTCTGCCTTTCCCCTGACAGTTTGTCGGCTTCCGTCTGCAAGTCTTCGAGTTTGTGTGACATTAGACATATATCATCAACACGCGAGATCCAAATCTCCCAGAGTCTTCTTATCGGTGGTCCAGCGTATTTCTGTCTTCTCACTCCCCTCCCACAGTCTAAGGCATAATCCAGTTCACCACAATTAGGAATATCATCGTTGGTGATAGTGGGCAGGCAGCCTTGTCTTATTCAAGTTTGTACTTTGATCGACTCGCTGAGTTTTCCGTTGGGGATAACCTGACACGTGTCATTATCATATAGCTGTTGAGTGAGGCTGACAAGTAAATGGGCACTGCACTCTGTAGTGTTAAAGTAGTTTCGAAATTACTTCTAGGTCAACGCTGTCTGTCGAAAGACTTTTCAAAGTCTATGAAGTTGAGGTAGAGACAGGTTTGACTGCCATTCTATGCTTTGTTTTGTGATGATGATGCGTAGAGTTGCAATTTGATCACCGCATGATTTGCCTTTCCTGAATCCAGCTAGTCCCGACTGGCGCACTTCTTCATCCAGTGCATGTTCTAGTCTCTCCAGGATGACGCGATACAGTATTTTACGTGTTGTGGACTAGAGCATTATTCCACGCCAGTCAGTCCTTGTAGAGGCTTAACTGGGTCACCCTTCTTTGGTAGCTTGACAAGGTAGCCAACCTTTCTTCCTCTCATTAGGCATCATTCCTTCCTTCCAAACCTGACGGAAAAACATCGTGAATTTCAAAGATTTGATTATCTACAGTCATAGATGCTGGTTAAAGTGGTTCAGAATCCGTGAAGTAGTGTTCATTTATTATCAATATCTTATTTTCACCCTAAGTGCAATGCCGTATTTTCTTATCTGCTCCATCTTCTTCCTATCATGATGACCTCTGTGACCTTTAGTCTGTTCTCTCTTTATCGTACTTCTTTGAAGTGCACACATAAGGTGCGCGGTAGCTTCACTCACCACTACTCAGTAATTTTGAGTTCTATGTTGTTAAAGACTGATTGAAATTGAAAAGAAGTCAAGTTTCACTTAAACCAAAATTCATTTGCATGCATCACGGTATATTTTATATGTATATATATATTTTTTCATTGTAGAGGTCCATCAGTTGAACTAGTCTGTCCTGCAGATGGAATGGAAGCTATACCGAACCCATTTGTTCAGCAAGAATAATTGTTCAATATGTAATTGTAATATATATATATATATTTTATATACATTTGTATAGTGCAAATAAATATTTGAATGGCAGTCATTAATTTCTGGCGTCATGTGTAACGGCAATTACACTTCAACATAGCCAGTCGAAAATACTTCGAGCCAGTCGTCGACGACTTCCTTCTTGCTGATTTCTGTTGCGTTTCATTGAACCTTACAGAATATCCATTCGTTGAGGTGCTCGATTTTAAACCAGCCTGACATTAGTTATAAATTTTCCATATTTACCAGTCTGTTTGCTGCAACACTGTGTATGTATGTCTCAATGTAGCAAGTTAACGGTAATATCGCATCGTTCTGGTTAATATTATTATTGTTCAACGTGATAAGCAGTAAATTCATTTATTTAAAACAAAATCATTATGAGTTAATTATGCCATTCAAAATGCAACAGAAAGGTGCTTTGTTTGTACTACCTAATATCATCTGCGATTCTGAAGATTAAATTTGAGTAGTATTGAAGAAAACAAAAGACGATTCAGTGGAGGAAATACTCCTTATTGACGAAGTCACCATCCTGACCTGTATTTATATTTCTTAACAATATACAGCAAACTATCAAGTAATGTAGAGGGTGTGTAGCATAACTGATACAGTTTGGTTTGTAAGGGTTAGTTTTGTTTTTACGAGTTGATCACGGATTGATATTAGTTAGAGAACCAATGAAAACCAGGGAGTACTGGACAACTGCTGTTTCATCATAGTTTGGGAATCATTGGCAGTACGCAACCACTGGGGTTCAAATCCAGGACCTTCCAGTTACAAGACAAGCTGGTATACCATTCAGCCACTGGGACCCGATTCAATGGCCAGTGCATGAATTCTAACTTCTACCAATTGGTGATTTAGCGCGACCCCAACTGATACAGTTATACAGAAGTGATTTCAAAGAACAAGAAATAAATTCCACAGTAGTAGTCAATGACAATGGAGATAAGGGGTTTACAACTTCATTCTCATCTTATAACGATTTTCACCGCATCAAATTTCAAACATTTGCTTCCATCATTCATTCATTGTTTATAAGACAAGTTTCTGAGGAGAATTACAATCTGTGTGACAGGAATGAACTGATTTGTAGCTCAAGTTTACTGAAGGTAATAGGAGATTTTCAAATAAACTAATGAAATTATAAAGGCAACTGATGAACTCATGTGCCATTCTAACCATTCAAGCCTGGTGGCTGAATGGCAGGCATTGTACCAGTGTGGTGGTGCTGTACTTGTGCACTTCTACAAATCCCAAACTGGGATGAAAAAGACATGTAGTGTAGTGTGGTGCATCCTGATTTCTCAGTGATCGTGCGAACGATATCGATTTTTGATCAAAGCGTGGGATTGCGTCATTCACACAGTGTTAACGAATTGAGTATAGAGACAATGAAGGTGGTAAGGATAGTACTGAATTTTCCAAGGTGAAAATATGTGCTGCTGCATGTGAACTATGATAAATGAATGTCAAGTATCATTCTTGAGTTCGATTGAAAGCTGTTGCTACTATACAGACTAAACAGTTCAACCTTCACGTTTATTTCGCCAACATAATCACTGAGCTCTGAAACTGTTGAAGAAATAATTTCCCAAAAATTTTCTGTGGATTTCGGTCACTAAATGACTTCATATAGCGAACAGTTGTTAACGAGGGAGTTCTGAACAGCTGTTTCGTCCTCGTTTGGGACTCTTCAGTGGTACACATCCATGACTCTATCATGGATCGAGTCTTGAACCTTCATGTTACGAGGTGAAGTCGTACACTATTCAAACACTGGATGGAATCCGTTGGCCCATCAATTCTAGCTTCCATGAATTCTCAGTGTATCGCGAACACCAACCAATATCATCAATGAGTATCTGTCCCTATGTCCAACTTGGCGGACACGGTCGATCACGACTTCCCACTAGGACTTCGTGCAGCTTTATCTTGCAGTAAGTCACCAGTGTTGCAAAGCAACATTTTCTATGACATGATTCAGATTCACTTGGAAGAGAAAATCTATTTATTAGAATGTAAATAAATGAAGAGGGTTTATAATTTTCAAGTTTTATTTATTTTTATGTTAATTGAAATAGATTTTTCATCTTAAAAGACTCAGTGTGTGAATTAAAAAGAGATTTATTGATCAAGAAGAGTATTACTATCGACACCATCATTGTATGAAGGCCCAAAACGGACAGAAAAGTATAAATAATGAATGAACTTGTTTATTAAGCTCAGTGATGCATAACGATAAGTTAAATGTGGAAATGCTACAGTTTTCTTGGAAGAATTTAAGAGATGTTAATTTTAAAATAAATCATTTATACATATTTTATATAATTTCAACCTAATTGCTTACCGAATTATAACCAGTGTGTAGCCATCTCATCATAAACTATTTATCGAAATAGATCAGTCAGGTGTGATAGGTGATGAGTATGTAGGGGACTGTCTACAGCAAGTTCATTAACATAACAAATATGCGAATAGAAATCCAAGTCAATGAGAGTACAATGCAACAATATATTATCAAAATGCAGTAATGAGTGATATTAATTAATAGGTTACTTGGATATGTTGTTAAAGTCCACTGCTACAAATTATTTACATAATCCACAGAAGCGTTGACTGTTGGAATCGTGTTTACTGATAGAAGCTATGTTCCGGTTGTAGAGTTGTCTTCGGATAAGGATAATAGGTTCCTGCAATAAATCCAAAGTATACAACACGGTTTGAGTGGAGCAGGTAGACAGAAATGGCCAGAGAGAAGGCGAAGCTACCAACAGTATAGTGTATTTCAAAATCCACTCGGAAGTTATATGTATTTAAACACAAATCGTTTTAAACAAGAGTAATGTACAATGTTTCTAATTTCAACGTCTAAGCAAAAAGTGTACAGTCATATGGTTACGTACTCCACGAGTATGATAAGTGATGTAACAGAACTACTGTTGTGAACTTTTGTCTTTATGTTAGCCGTTGTAAGTCATTCGATGGGTAGATGCGATTATCATGTCTCTTTGATCTCTTCAGTAAAGTACACTTAAGACTTGGAGAAAGGTATTCCTTGTGACCAACCACTAGGCGAATATTTCTAATGTGTTAGTGACTAAATGAGCTAATGTGGAGGCTCTAAATGGTCCCGGGTTTCGTGAATTTGCTTATAGCTTACTAAGTAATACACCAGAAATAAAGGTACTCTCTAACAATGAATTGCCTTGAGATCCTGAATTTATTATTATTATTATTATTATTATTATTATTATTGTAGCTTTAGTCTGCACAAAATGTTTACGCAATGTACGAAGTAGTTTTCAGCATAGTTAATTGCATAATAACAATTTACAATACATCAGGTAACTCAATACTTTGCTATGTGAAGAATAGAATAATCCCCAGTAGTATCTTTCTTTTGTCGCCGAGAAATGCACACCAGTAAGTTAAAAGCTGATTGCAAGTGTGTATGAGTACATTTAGCGACTTATGGACATAACTACATAGTTAAAACAAATTGAAATAGAGAAAATTTGAATGCAGTTTGTTGGACAGAAATTCAGGTAGACCAGTGATTCAAGCAGGCCAACGTTACAATTACCAAAAAAGTATAATTCTTTTGTTGAATAATAGAATGAGATGTCATCAATTTTCAATAACGATATAGACATATATCGAATTTATATGTCGTAACCTATGATTCAATGATAAATTAGATAAGTATCTATCTGGTTCAGGAAAATGATGCTTCTCTCTAACCACTATATATCAGCTGAGTTATGAGGCCTTAATGCTAACCAAGGCACCATTCCCATTTAATCATCGTGGATAGTTCTTGGCTGCCACATGAGTGTACGACATGTAACTATTCACTTGTCATCAACTTTAAGTGCTTAGATGGTAATGATTGAAGTAAAATGAAACGAAGAATAGGAACTCAGTGTTATGACTCAGCTGGAAGGGCTCTACATAACTAGTAGAGTAGAGTAAGCAGAAGATTAGAAATACTGATTCTGAATACACACGATAATGAATCGCGATTCTCCACTATCTACAACAGCTTCAAACTTGAGCAGTTCCCTAAACGTGTACAAATTATCAAGAGTGACATTCATAGTGAGTTCTGATAACACAGACTTGATACGGCTCTCTTTCGAAATAGTATTCAATTTCAAAACAAGCTGCCTAAGAGAACACTGTTCTCACAACTCTATGAATTTAATATTTGTGATATTTTCCACCTTTAACTGTGTAGTTCAATTTCATTGAATTAATGAATGTATTTCACTAATTATGATCAGCAGTGATCTGAACAGATGATGACATATAACAAAACTAGAGAGATTCTGAAATCTAATCAAGGCTTTTCTCGACGATTAGATGTTTAAGTCACACGGAGCAGGATGATAATGATCTTCATGACTGCTTAAGAGGAACCAAGACTGTGTTCATCGAAAGGAAGATGTTGTAATGCGTAATAAGACGACTTCCATCCATTAGAATTCTTTGTTTGATGTAGACACCCAGATTTTGAACTGACCGGGTGTGTAGGGAAAGGATGAAAGCGTTTGACTTCACATTATTAAGGAGGTCTATAACTTCTAACTGAGTATCACCGTAGTATTTCTATTCATAATTCTGTTTTATGCAGATTCTTTTACGATTGTTGTCAACATTAGCTTTTGATATTATTCAAGTTAGACCATAAGAAAATACATATATGTGACACAGTGAATAGTAAGTATGGATGAATTTGAAAAGAAATTAAGGCCATCATAAAATGACATCATGCTCTATATTTTTGGGCAACACCACCAACAGCAACAACAACAGACAACAATCAGCATAAATGCGAGGAACCTGAAAGAAACAACCTCCTTTACACCTTCCTACCTGGGAAGCATCGTTTCAATCACAGGCGGACGGAACTGACGAGGATATCAAAGCAAGAATCGGAAAAGCAAGACAAGCTTTCACTACTCTCAAGTCTGTGTGGAGGTCAACAGCACTCAGCATCAAAAATAAGATCCGGATTTTCAACTCCAATGTGAAGTCAGTGCTAC